CGGCAGGGCCAAGTTTGAGTGGGATGTGATAGTCCAAGAGCAGAACCCTGCACCAAGCCAAACCTGCTGGCACCAGGCTTTCCTCTGCTCCACCTGGTCTACTGAATATTACCTGAGATTGGAGGGAATGGTCCCTCCTGGCCTTTGCAGGCTGCTAGTTCACAACCTACAGCCTGAACTGATGCAGAAGAATGGCTGGGTGAAGGACCTGTAAGATCAGCAGAAATCTAGAAAGGGCCCTTGCAGTAGACTTCTAAGCCCTACTTGCTCCCCCGCTGCATGCAGCAACTGGGGAATTTCCTCCTGGAAGTGGATGAAGCGCAGAGAGTATTACCTGAACTTGCCCAAGCACTGGTCAGTCACCCAGCCACCACTGGTCAGTAAGCCACCACGATGCAGCAAACCAAGCCAGGGCTGGTGATGTTCTCCACTAGGATTTTGTCTCTGTTCATCCCAGAAGTGGGTGCTGGAAAAGCAGTTGGGATTTCCCAGGGGTACTGGGCTGGTCATGCCTGTGGGGTTACTGCCTGACCAGCACCAGCCCTAGTGCCTGGGTGACCTGAACCACTTGTGATGCCTGTAGGCGCTGGGATCCTTCTATACAGAGAGGAAAGGTTGATCTTGCAATCAAGGAGCCTAACACCAAAGGTGGCAAGATGGGCAGGTGGACATGCGGGAAAAATGGGAGTGGCTGAGGGAGGCAGAACTAGGAGCAGGAGTAGGGTCTGGTGTTGATTACCCCTGGGGTGGGCTATGGGGCTCTGATGCCAGTCCTGGCTCTGGAGCAATTCTTGACTCTGGGTTGGTAATTCAAGGACTGAACCCTAAGATATAGCCTGGTACATGGGGCTGGATGTGTCCATGTCCCACCCAGCCTCATCCTGGGCACAGCCCTGGCTCCTAGAGGTTGGCCACAAGCCTGGGAGAAGGGCTTTTATCCCTTGCATAGTGCAGAGCCACGTGTTTGAGACCATGAGCCTCCTCCAGGCTCAGTGAGTAGAGGCTGTAGACAACAGGACTGGGAAAACTGTCTGCCCTCCATCTACCATGATGGAGTGCCTGGGCTTGGAGCCAGATCAGAGAAGACAGTCCGGGGTTTGCTGTGCACTCCCGTGCTGGGAGCAGCACTCCGCATCTGCACAGCCTGACCATCTCACCTCTGGCATGCACTGCTAACTGCCCACCACCCATTGTGCAGTGTTTCCCTCCCCTCCGCACAGGGCTATTTCTCCTTGCGATCCTGCAGTGAGTGGAAATCACTAGCTGCCTCTTGACAGCTCCTGGTGAGAAGCTTCAGGATGAAGCTGAGCAAGCTTAAGGGTGCCCCAGGGCATCGTCACCCCAAGGAGGGGTTGTGCTAGAGCCCTGCCAGATGCCAGATGCCTCCTGCAATCTGCCCCACCAAGTTGGGCCACTGTCAGAGCATCTACCACCTGGCACGAGCCACACTGGCCAGTGCTCTGAGCTGTCCCACAGGGCTGGTGGAGGCAGGATTTGATCCCACAGTTTAGCTTCCCACAGTTCATGCAGTTAACCCCAGCACTATGTCAAGCTCCAGGGCAAAGGAGAGGGGCAGTGTCCTCTCTGTCAGGAAGGAGAACAGCCACAGGAGGCTGCCAGGCACTGAGGGGAGCCGACGAGCACCCTTCCAAGGTACCCCCTCTCCCCCAAACTGCTTCGTCCCGAATCTCCAAACGCATTTCTCTAAATCAAGCTCTGGCATGCCCCTTCCCCTCTTGGCGGTGTTTGGGGGTCACCTGTGACCCCTGGCAGATGGTGAGGGGACTCCCACCCCTTCCCCAGGAACTGTTGCAGCCAGCCATCTGTCAGGCAGCTCAAATCTCAGCGGCACTGCCTGGGAGCGCTGTGCAGCATCTCCACCTTGGGACCTAGGCTGCTGCCTCCGTGGCAAAGGGCGGGAGTGCAGGCAGGCTAGGGGAGGGCAGGGGGCTGCCTGGAGCTGGTGGGTGTCCTGCCCACAGCCCGGTATCCAAATGCAGGACGGTAAGTGTGAGAGGGTCACTGCATGGGGCTGAGGATGATGGGATTCATGTGCTGCGGGGAGTCTCTTGGGTGAGGCGGCGCAGACAAGGGGCTCTTGTCATCTCCCAAGCGTATGGCATCATTTTCCAGGGGGATCTGATAGCCAGCCCCCAGCCTGGCTGTGCCCAGGCCGCTGGGCCAGCCTGGTGAGGGGCACTTAATACAGCTATGGTGCTTGCCAACCTGGCTCTGCCACTGCCTTTGGCCAAGCTGTCCTGAGGCAGAGATTGGGCAGTCCATGGACATATGGGAAATCTTTGTGTGTTCCCCCTGTGGCACTCTTCCCCTCCTGCACAGGAAGCAGTGGCAAGGAGCAGTATATCTGTAACCCGCTTACTCCCTCTCTGTCCTTCTTGCTCCCCACTGGTCTTGTGAATTTGTCCCCCAGAGTTTGGCAGCTGCTGGGTCTCCCTTGTTAAGAAAGCACCTGGAGCCTAGAGCAGCCCCAGCTTTGTGCACTTGGGATGGGGTCACTTGGGAGGGCCACGGGGCCCCCAGAGAGAGCACAGCTGGACTAGGATGGAGGATGCATCTACAGCAGCCCCCTAGGTTCCTTGTGACGGTCCCCAGGGAGAAGCTGCCTTTGGAACAGAGACTCAGGGTCTCAGCAGCTCTGCTGTCTCCCAGGTCCCTGAGTGGGGCCTTTTCTTGGGGCAGAGCCCATTAGTAGCTCAGGGCATGAGGGCTCAGAGCATGCAGGGAGCAGAGCTGAGCCCCCATCAGCATCCAGAGAAGCTGGGTGCAGGGGTGAAGGGGGGAAGGTGGAGGAGCAAGTTTCATGTGCCATCCTGGAGGGGTAAGCGGCACCTGTGGTGGCACTGACCTTGGTTGGCAGGAGCTGGCTTTGCCCTGCCTCCTTGTCCCTCCGGTGTCGCACACCAATGGGAACAGCAGACCCAGGGGAAAGA